TGATTAACATAAAAAATTATCGTTTGAGACTAACATTGGTAGGTTACAGAATTAAAAATATACTTTATAAATTAAAGTACCAAACTAAAATCTTATTTGAAGTTAGAGAATGAAATGAACACTTTTGTCCTTTTTTTCTTAAATCAAGTTTGTGATCATTTCAAAATTGCCAAAGTGGATTTTTTGATTGGATAGAAAAGTCAATTAATTAAAAATTATTAACTGAAAACTTAGAAATATGCTCTTTTTTAAAAAAAAAATTAATTGTGCTCATTTTGGGATTGGAAGATGGGTAGAAGATGATAGGGTGTGAGAGACATTCTTCTATGATTGGTGGGGACAGGATTGAGATTTTGAGGTCCACAACCATATTTTTATATTTTAATTTGTAATATTTTTAAGTACTATGAATTTTTTTTGTAACATTTATCTAAATTTATTTCATTTTTCAAATTTCCAGAATCTTTTAGTTTTTAAAAAAAAAATTAAGACTTTTAGTAAACTCATTCGTGTATTTTTATTTCTTGATTTTTATATTTGTATTGTTATATTTCTAATTGAAGCTAGGATTAATGAGCATTTTTCCCCTCAACTATTTGCGCAAGAACTCTATTATCTTAATTGAATATTTGGTACATAGAAAAATAAAAGAAATATTCTAGAATGAAAATGAGATATGTAGCTAGAAAGAAAACGAAATAAATGCATTTCCCTTTTCCTTCTTAGCTAGAAAATATTTGTCTACTTACAGTGGGGGCCAATTATATTGTGGAAAAACATTACACTATGACTTAGATTTTTTTGTTAGAATCTGACTATGCCACATGTTATTCTCTAACAATTCTTAGAATGAATTTGATTTTATATTCAACAAGTGTTGTATTTCCAAGTCAAGTAAACTCACATTTCCTTTGCATAGAAGAAGTGGGACAATAATATGTGTTTGTTGAAATTAGAATGCTCTATAACATGTCGATGTTTGAGTGTCTTGTTGCTTTCAAGATAACAGCTTTCCCACTTGTCATAATTCTTCAAATAAATTTGATTTTTATAATCAAAGAATGGTATATTTCCAAGTCAAGTAAACTCATATGTGCTTGGCATGGAGGAAGTGGGACAGTAATATGTTTTTGTCAATGTTTGAGTGAAATTCATATGTCAAGTAAACTCATATCAATTCATATACTCATTGTGTGAACCAACTTCTGAATTTAAGGGGGGCCAAGTATATTTGTGAAATCAATATATATTATTAGTTATATTTTTTTATAACTTTAAAAATCAAATCATAATAAAAAATCAAATATTTAAGCTTATACATACACTGCATTTTAATAAAATCATATGATAATTTCAGAAAAAAAATATATGGTTTTTTAATACATCGCTTAATATATATATATAACTCTTTTTCTTAATAAGCTCTATAACTCTTTCTTATCATTAACACTTTCTATTTTTTATTTAAAATCCAATTCAACTTATTTGATTGAAAAATACATTAGATACATATATTCAATACCTAGATTTTTTTCTATAATAAATTATGTAAAATTTTGAACCACTACATATTGATGATTTGGGGAAAAATAATAAATATTGAACATTTATAACAAATTAAATCAATATATATATTATGTTTAAAAACAATATTTGGCATACTTAGAATAATCTTAATTAATATTTTATGAAAATTAAATAAAAAATTCTGTATTATTGCAAATGATAAATTTTTATAATAATTGATATTTTTAGAATAATTTACTTAAAATTAAAAGAAAAAAGCTTTTATGTATATGCAAATTAAATAACAAAGTAATTCTATATTAATGCAAATGTCAAATTTTAATAATAATTAATATTTTTAGAATAATTTACTTAAAATAAAAATAAAAAGGCATTTATGTATATAAAATATTAACTATCATTTTTTTATTGATGTAAAGTTAATGTTAATTTACAAAAATTATTTTAATAAACTAGTAAATCATATATTTTTATAATGTCCAGAAGAACTATATAGTTTATAATTAATATAATATGTATAAAACATAAGGAATGGGTCACTGTGGGATGAGGGGGTGCTAAACCAAAGAGGAAATTAATGGGAATGAGTCACAGAGGCCTTATTACATATGCCGAGGTCTGCTTTTAGCGTGAAGAAAATGGCACAATGATAAGTCAATGAAATAAAAAATAAGTTATGAATATTTACTTTAGACATTTCATTGATAATATGGAGGTTCTATGAATTGGGGTGTTTTCTTGTCTTTCTACACAACTCATTAAGATGGCCAAAGAGAAAAATAAGTCATGAATGATGACAAGTCATAATTAATTTTATACATAATTCTTCTAGTCAAGACAATTCATACACCTATATTGTGGAAAACATTACACAATGATGTAGATTTTTATTTTGATAGAATCTGACTATGACACACATTAGTCTATAACAATTCTTAGAATAAATTTGATTTTATAATTAAAGTGTATTGTATTTCCAAGTCAAGTAAACTCATGTCCCTTGCATAGAGGAAGTGGGACAATATGTTTGTTGAAATTATAATTGTCCATAACATTTCCACATTTGAGTGTCGTGGTTCTTTCAAGATAATAGCTCTCCCACTTGTCATGGGTTGGAATTGACACTGAGAAAGCGGAAGAAAAAAATTTTATTAGTTTCACATACAAACTAACAAAAATAAATAAATAAATAGTTGCTGATCCATAGATTTGTTTACTGCTAATGTAATGTTATAGTAATTTCAATGCTCCAGAGTCAATTATTATTGAAATGTTGAAATTATGTGAATTAGAGTCATTTCCGAGTTTCATTGATGTAGATATCAAAGAGGAAATTAATTATACATCCATAATTTTTCAAGTGGCAATATTATGGATTTTTCAGGAATTTGAATAGTATGCGCATTAATTTGTAACGAATTCATTTTTACCATCCAATTTTGTAATTTGTGCAAAATAAATGTTTATAGAAACACTGAAAATTGATTTTAAAATGATTCTCATTCATGTTCTTTTTTAAGTTGTCATCATCATTTCAAAATTGCAAAAGGGGATGATTTTTCCCTGGCTAAATGAATCCCTTGTTAGAATCGGATGAATACTTCGTACATTTCTATTAAAAATAACTAAATAAATCATTCATGAAATATGGTAACAGAAATGCAAGTCAATGAAAAACTCCTCAACAACATATGGATGAACAATTATAAGTAGAGCCCACTATATTATAAGTCCTATTTGTTATTATATTTAAATTCATCTTTAAAATACACTGATGACTAAGTTCTTATCTATTTTTTTTAATTACAAAAATTTAATTGAAAACATGCATCCACTTAAACAGGGGTGGAACCAGGATAAGAAACTGAGAGGGGCCAAATTCAAATAAACGTTATTACATACATTGACAATTTATTTTTTAATTTTTTAATATTTAGAATCAAAATTTTATTTTTCCAAAAGAATAAAATTTTTATTAAATACAAATATAATATGAAAAATATTTAAGATAATAATCATTTGAAATTATTTAATATTTTAAAAAAGTTTAAAACATTTAAAGTTAAGTCAAATGTTTTTACACATATGATAAAATCCCTTCTCCAAATGTCTTACAAATATAATGGAGGAGTAAAATTCAGTATATTTCAAAGTCTAAGTCAATTCATGTTCGCAGAGAAGATGACACAATAATAGTAGTGGAATAAAAATAATTTACGTATATGAAAGTCATTCCAAGCCATTCTAGACATTAAGATCACGTAGAGAAAATGGCACAATAATAGAAGTCTTGGCTCTTCATTGTGTGTTTGGTTGGCAACAATTTGATAAATTCAACTTAACTAGTTGATTTTTTCACCAAAATAATTTAATTTTTTAATTGATGATGCATATATAGATATATTATTTTGTCATTTTTTATATCAAAAAATATTGAGGTTCTATAATTGATGAAATTTCCCACATTTTCCTTCTCATTGATGTAGCCCTAGAAAAGGAATTTCCTCTTATCTTTCTATACTAATGTTTTAAATCAAGTCAACTTGCATATCTTTAGCGTAGAGAAAGGGCCACAATAATTCCAGTCTTACTTGAAAATAAATTCATGATTTCTTATTCATTTTATTCTTTATGTTCTTTCTCTTAATTTCTGATTCCTTTTTTCTTCCGTTTTCTAGAAAATTTGTAGAATGAGAAATATAGGTGAATTTTATAATAAAATTTCATATTTAATACTGGAATTAAATATAAAAAGATACGGAATAAAACCAATTGATTATCTATAAAATATATCAATTACAATCTTAAAATCACAACCATATCTCCATTTGTATGTAAATACACAATAAAGATATTTGAGAATAATTCTTTTTGGGGGAACCTGGTTGCGGATAAATCTCATGGTCAGCATGTTTATTTCTTAGAGCAATATTATACAGTTTTATGATTTTGAGATCACTATGATGAAGCCATTATCTCATTTTTCTGGATCTTTGGTAGATTAAATGGTTAGTCCTTGATTTATCATAGTGGCCATTGTTTCGAAGGGATTCTCATAATCTATTAGCCAATTAAACTATATATTAAATCAGCTGTGATTTTTCATAATCAAAAAGGCACCATGAATTTTATTTTAAGCATGCATGTTTAGTTTAGACCACTTGTTTTAATGAGTAAAATGTATTGTATTCCTTCTGTTTGGCTCTAATTACATGGACCTCCTATTATTTCATGAATGGGACCTCTTTTAGTGTTTCACTTTTTCACCCTCTATTAAAAAAAGATGACATTTAATTCTTGGCAAGAATTTGAATGGTCCACTTCTTTTCCCACCATAAATATGAATGCATTTGTTAGATTCACAATTTTTTCTGCCTTTATTATTATTGAAGACCAGCGCTTGTCAATATATAAATACAGCATGACCTTTTACACTGTCCACTTTAGTTTTATAAGCCTTGAACCAATCCAACATGGTGAACCTTTGGCTTGAATTTTCCTTCTCCATGTTCTCACTGCTTTGTTATCTCACAGTCTACCCAACTTTATGTCACGCCAACTTCACCAGAAATGATGAATTGGCACTTCTTGCTTTCAAATTTTCTGTGAGAGACCCATTCATTCATTTGGCTAATTGGTCCAACTCTTCCTCCATTTGTAATTGGACTGGGGTTACTTGTGATGCTAATGGTGAGAGAGTAAGTATATTGAATCTTGCTGACATGAGTCTCATGGGCGCCTTACCCTCACAAGTGGGGAATTTGTCCTCCCTTGTTGAACTTGACCTTCATAACAACAACTTTCATGGTGAATTACCGATGGAGATGCTGCAATTACACAAGTTGAAAATTCTCGACTTGAGTCATAATGAATTTGATGGGAAAATTCCAGCTTGGATTGGAGGTTTATTTGCTCTTCAGCACCTGACTTTTCATAATAATAGTTTTGAGGGTGTTATTCCTCCAAGTGTGTCGAATTTGTCAAAGTTAGAGACCTTGGATTGGACCTCTAATTCTATCCATGGATCCATTCCTCCTGAGATTGGGAGTCTCCAACATTTAAAGATTTTACGTATAGAAGGGAACAATCTTTCAAGAAAAATACCTCCAACTATTTCTGGCTTATCCTTACTCGAGCAGATGTCTTTGTCATACAACTCCTTAATAGGTATGTATTTTTTTTATAATATCTGATGATTTCATATTTCCTCTAAATCATTTCAAAAAAATTTTTAAGTGTTTCTGTGTCTTAAGTGTCTGTGCTTTTTCATTTTGGCTATTAACAACATAAGAATTTTAATTGAGATGCATGGGAAGAAATAAGCAGGCATGGAACTTGCTTTTGATTGGAGGGGGCCTAATATTTAAAATGAACTAGCTTTGGATCTTACAGTTATTCTTGTAGGATCTATATTAGGCTTTAAATGAACGAAACATAATCTTCGGCATAAAATATCAAAAGAAAAATTTCAAGCTATTAATTAAATATTTGTTACCAGCTTTCAAGATTTTTTTTTAGCTTGGGTTAAACTATTTAAAGTATTTTCTATCTACCCCTCAACAACCGTTATCGTTTTGACTAATTTTATAATTTGTATTACCCTGTAAGTTTAATCAATCCATGGAACTAACAACTCTTCACACACAAGAATTTTACCGATGTCATAAAACAAACATTTTGAAAAGAAAACTATTTTTAGGCAATATAAACTATTTCTCGGCACTATAATCTTCATTTGGATTTTATTTTTTAATTTTTATCATCAATATTTTTAAAATTAATTTTATGATTTGAGAGAAATGTTATATTACATAATAGACCGTGTTCAAGTAGAAATATATAAATATAAAACATATTAACAACATATTAACTTTACAAAAGTACTTTAATAAAAAAAAACTTTGTAAAGAATATAAAATGATTTCACATTTTAATGATCTAGGAGTGATATAATGATATAAATTCAACGAATTTAATAATTTATTAATATTACACACACACACACACACACACACACTATTTTCACCCCTTTTATATTATATTTATTGTTAATTGGTAATTCTATTTACATATATATATATATATATATATGTAAGTCTTTAATCTTTACGATCAAAGTATTTTACTAGTTTTGATATATATTGTTAGACCATTTTCATATTATTTATGATTCATTTTTAGAGTGAAATATATTCATTTATATTTAATTGATTAATATTACATAAACCATCACATAATTTTCAAAAGTACACACTTAAATTTAATTTTTAACTCTTTTAAAAAAAACTTTATCAAAGATTCTAAAATACTTTTTTATTTATTAAAAGGTGCATCATAGCAATTTAAACTTGTACACCCTTGTTTTTTTTTTTAATAAACTTGTAAACCCTTGTTAAACACCATTAATTCCATTCCTAACCAGCATCGCTCTCCTTCCCTCGCCTTTACAACAAACAACACAATAATGCACCTTTTTTGTATTTATCTAATCATTTATACGCCATAGTAAATAAGTACAATTTCAAAAATTTGTATATTTATGCTAATGAATTGTTTTGTCCTATAATATTTTGTCGATTATGAACAATAGAGCACAAATTAGCAGTTATATTATAAAAAATTGTTTGGTTTAAGAGCTTTATTATTTTTCCAGACCCAGGTTTCTTTTAAATACAAATTCAAGAGTTATTATATCATAATCACAATAACTTTAAACAAAATGCATTCATAAAATTATGTTTATTACTTATTTTGCTTTTATCATGATCTTATACATGAGAATTCATAATAATGTGCTTTTTTTTATTATCATATTGCAGGAAATATTCCTCAAACAATTGGTTATCTAACAAACTTGAAAATAATATATCTTGGTGCTAACAAGTTGTCTGGCCAAATACCAAGGAATATTGGAAACTTGACGAAACTTCAAGAGCTAGACCTTGGTCAAAATAACATTGAAGGTACACTTTTAACTAATCATAATGTGTAACTTTTTATCATATTTGTGCTATTTTTTGGGAAAGTTCATTTAGGAGCCATATCATATAATATATATGTCCCCGCCACTGGCTCACAGAAAAAGGTATATCTTGGACATACAAATATATATATCCCAAAACATTTTTTCTAAATTTTAAAAGCTAGATTTGTTAAAAATTATTTATCATCAATGGACACTTGGAGCATTAAACAACTTTTCTTACATCTTTATCGAGTACATAGAAAATATTCTTAATAGAATTGCTATGCGACAAATTTAAATTTTATATCTTTAAGCGTTAATAGTTGGGAAGTTGGCTATGCCACAAAAGGTATATACTGATCAAAATAATTTACAAGGTAATTTTTCATCAAATTATGATGTTCAAGCTACTATATTTTTTCTCTCTTATGTTGTTTTCTCAGTATTACTAAGAATGAAATTAATTTTTCTCTTCCTATTTTTCTTTTTGTTTATAAATTTGTGTGTTTTAGAACTTACATTTTATATAAAATGATTATTTTTAATTACTGTTTATAGATAGTCTTTTGGATGTCATATTTTCCACAAAAAGTTGTTCAACAGCATTGAGTATAGCTGTAAAGTTGAATATGAGTGAAATTTATATGACATATCATTTTTTCTCATAAAATTTATCCTTATATATTATATATTGTATAAAAAGCCAACATGATGTATTTGGCCTGTGATTTATATTGAGCTGCATGTTTTGTTATTTTTTTAATATAATATTTCAATTTTTTTCTGTTGAATTTTATGAAAGGGTTTTTTAGTTTTTGCAAATTTAATTGAGGCACATGTAAAATGATTTTCATGTGCTAGTTAACTCCTTCACTTATAACACTATCTTTGCATGGGATACATTCTAGAAGTCTGTGGTCTTGTTTTAATTTTTTTTAATATTATCAATCATCCCATAAAGTTATATTGCATCATTTTAACATGTTTCATGAAATGTTAAAATTACAAAATCTGTTTCTTTGTATCAAGAAAGATTTTGATCTAATGCCATTTGTTTAGTATATTATGCTTTATTCATTTTCACTTTTAATATGACTGCCTTTCTGGGTTTTAATTAATTTTTTGGCAACACAAAGATGCATTGGAAACTTGATATATAGTTTGGTACTATCGATCATTTTATTCCTTGTTATTCTTCTTTTGTCTGTCGGAACATAATCACTTGTGTGACAATGTTAATATATATCTACATCAATATTAAAATATAAAATCTCCATATTAGTTGTTTCCCTTGAAATGTAAACAAGGATTAATGAATTGGAAAATGGAAAACTTTAGTCCCTATAAACCATAATCAACATCTCTATTTTATGGGCCAATGAACAGAGGTGAGCATATTCCACGACACAGTCCCAAGATTTGTTTATATTTGAGGTATAGGAAAGATAAAGAGACTTCGAAATTTGACTATTGATTTTGTTTTTTCTTAGTAATTCATAATAATTAACCACATAATATATTATGTAAGAATTCGTTTGTAACATTCCCAGGTATTGGAAACTTGTCTAATTCAAAAACAAATAAAAACATTTTAGCACCATCAAAATAAAATTAGAGAATCTGGATAATTCTTTACGCTTCAAAACTCATTTGCAATATGTATTGGAAACTTGACTGTGCTTGAGGGCTTGGTCTTTCTTCTAATAAATTACAAGGTACTCTTTCAGCAAATGATATAAGTACTCTTCATTTTTTTCATTGATAAAACATTTTATGCATGAGCAAACGTATAACAATGTTCATTCTGTTTTTCTTATAAAAAAAAAGTATTTGTACTTTTTGTTTTTTGAATAATAATTTGCGTTTTGTTTTGTTGTTATATTGCAAGATGCATTCTAAAAATAACTTGCAGCTATTTTTTTTATTCATAGGCAATATTTGTCTACATGCATGTTGAACTGCAATATCGTAAACATATACAAAGAAATATTAAAAAGTAAAATAATTGTGAGGAACCCGTGTGAACCATCACTGTATGTATAATCTAAAATAATTTTTTTATGTTATGCGAAGCTCAACAACATATTTATTAAAAATTAAAGAATAAAAGAAAATACATAAAATCTAAAAAAGCCATACTTATTTTTTTAGTTAGATTTAAATGTTTTAAGAATGAAGTATAATTTTTTAATTTAGTGTCTAACTTGTACATCATATATAAGACGTGTATACTTTTTTTTTTTTTTTTTGCCATCTTTCTAGTTATATTATTTCTTCTTCATGCGTCAATCTAGCGAATTGTTGGAAAAAGATGACAAGGCTATATTCCAATTTTTATATTCAAACTTCCTGTACTTTAATCTATCTTATGATATTATATATGCTTTGGGATATATTTCTTGCTAAGATAAAGTGGGAAACCATTATCTTGTGAGTTGCATCTGTATGATCTGCAACGCATGGTCATGTGTCAAAAAAAAAATCTAAAAATAAAGAATATTTTGAGAAATAATGCTTTCAAAATTTGTTAGTCAATTTTTGTATAAAATGATTTTTTATGCATTACGTTGTCATGTATGTTGCAAGAGATATTCCCAAATCAAGTAGTGATTTTACAATTCTGAAAATACTGCACTTATGCGTTAATCACTTGTCCAGCCACACACCAAGAGAAATTGGGAGTTTGAAAATGCTCCAATTGTTAGACTTCCATATGAATAATTTACAAGGTTTACTCTTAGCAAAACATAATATTAATACTTTTTCTTTCTAAATAAATTTATCATGACCATTAGAAGGGTTATTATGTTTACCTCTATTTTTTTTGGGCTAGAAAACAGAGGTAAGCATATAATATTGTTCTTGATTCCATGAAGATTTGCCCTTCCGACTCCATTCATGCTCGTTTCTTTTGATTCTCTTCAATAGTTTTTTTTAAAATTTTCTTCTTTTATTTTGCACTTATTTTCATGAAGATTTTTATTTTAATTCCCTTTTCGTTCTCCACATCGTCACATCATCACATTATAGAGTTATTGAATCAATAGTTGTGAGTTTTTATAATATTGTTAGAAACTTCTCATATTATTTATGATTCATTTTTATAGTGAAATATATTCATTTATATTTAATTTTATTAATATTTCATAAACTATCACATAATTTTCAGAAGTATACACTTAAATTTAATTTTTTACTCTTTTAAAAATACTTTATCAAAGATTCTAAAATTCTTTTTTATTTATTAAAAGGTGCATCTTAGCTATTTAAACTTACTTGTTTACCCTTGTTAAAGACCATTAATTCCATTCCTAACCTATATCAATCTCCCTCCCTTGCCTTTGCACGGAACAATGGAAGTACACAAAAATGCACCCTTTTTGTATTTATCTAATCATTTATGAACCATAATATATAATAAGGACAATTTCAAATTTTGTATATTTATGATAATGTATTGTTTTCTCCTATAACTTTTTTTTATAATTAAAAATAGAGCTCAAATTAGTTATTATTATTTTCCTAGACCCCGGTTTCTTTTAAATAGAAATTCAATAGTTATTATATCATAATCACAATAACTTTAAGAAAATGCATTCATAAAATTATTTTCATAAGTATTTTTCTTTTATCATAATCTTATACTTGAGAATTCATAATAATGTGGTCTTTTTATTATCATATTGCAGGAAATATTCCTCAAACAATTGGTGAGCTCACAAACTTGAAAATTATACAATTCTTATCTAACAAGTTGTCTGGCCAAATACCAAGGAATTTTGGAAACTTGACAAAACTTCAACAGCTAGACCTTGGTGAAAATAACATTGAAGGTACACTTTCAACTAATCATACTGTGTAACTTTTTATCATATTTGTGTTATTCTTGGGAAAGTTCATTCAGGAGCTATATCATATAAATATATGTCCCCGCCACTAGAAGTAAGGGTCTCCAAGTGGTTCGTTAACAAGTTTATAGAAAAAGGATGAACCCAAAACGTTTCTTGTAAATTTTAAAAGTTAGATTATTTTAAAATATTACCATACATAAACACTTGAAACATTAAACAATTTTTCTTATATCTTTATCAAATACGTAGAAAATATTATCAATATAATTGCTATGGGACAAAGTTAAATTTTATATCTTTAAGCGGTAATTTTTTTCCAGGCAATATACTAGGTAATTTTCATCAAATTATGATGTTCTAGCTACTATATTTTATTTTTTTCCCTCGTTAGTTCTTTTCTCAGTATATATTTGTGTGCATTTCTCTTCCTATTTTTCCTTTTGTTTATAAATTTGTGTGTGTTCTAGAAATTCTATTGTTATATGTGAATGATTCTTTTTAGTTACTATTTGCAAACATTTGTTTGGACTAGAGATTAGGCTTGCCAAAATACTTTATTTCTAATGTCAGATAAAATGAACAATATATAATATGCAACACTGCAAAAGTTCTACAGCAGCATCGACAATATATTTCACATTTTCTATTAGATTATGTCACCACTCTATGCTACCTACCATGATATAACTATAATATTTGGCTTTGCTTCCAATTTTAACTTCCATTAATTGGTCAATATAAATTCCTCTATAATTAATGGTTTTGATACATCACTATTGTTAGGATTCTAGATGTGAGACAACGTTTAACATCTGTTTGTATTTCATATCAAAAACGTAAATTGTTAATAAAACTATCATTGATTTTCTTAGTTCAATTGCACTCCAAAATAGCTTTTTTCTTTTTATACATTGCATGGATAAGTCTATTTGTACAAACTAAAAATTGCAATAGGTATATCTTAAAAGATATTTGTACTTATTAAGAATTTTTATTTTAGAAAGAAATTAAAAAATGTCTTTAAATCTTCTATAGATAGTCTTTTGCATGTGATATTTTCCTGAAAAATTGTTCAACAACATTGAGTATAGTGATAAAGTTCAATATAAGTGAAATTTAAATGACATATTATATTTTTTAACAAAATTATTCCATATATACTATAAATTGTATAAAAAGCCAATATGATGTATTTGGCTTGTGAATTGTGTTATGATTCAAAATATTTAATTTATATTGAACTATATTTTTTGCTATTTTGCAATATAATATTTAATTTTTTTCTGTTGAATTTATGAAAGGGGTTTTTAGTTTTTGCAAATTAAATTGAGGCACATGTAAAATGATTTTGGATGTGCTAGTTAACTCCTTCACTTATAATACTATCTTCTCATGGGATACATTCCAAAAGTCAGTGGTCTAGGTTTTTTTTTTTTTTAATATTGTCGGTCATCTAATAAAGTTATATTGCATCATTTAACACGTTTCATGAAATTTAAAAGTTACAAAATCTGTTTCTTTGTATCAAGAAAGATTTGGTCTGATATCATTTGTTCAGTATATTATGCTTTATTCATTTTCACTTTTAATATGACTTTATTTTTGGGTTTTAATTAATTGCTTGGCAACATAAAGATGCATTGGAAACTTGATATACTGTTAGTAAATGATAGTTTGGTACTATCGATCATTTTATTTCTTTTTGTTCTCCTTTTGTCTGTTGGAAAACATAATCACTTATTCGACCATGTTAATATATACATCAATATTAAAATATAAAATCTTCATAACTGTAAACAGAATTAATAAATTGGAAAATTGAAAACTTTAGTCTGTATAAACCAGAATCAACATAGCTGTTTTTTAGGCTAAAAAACAGAGGTAAGCATGTTCTACAATGCACAATGCCAAGATTTGATTATATTTGAGGTGTAGGGCAAATTGTAGGAAAGATAAAGAGACTTCAATTTTTTTTTCCCTTAGTAATGCTAAATAATTAACCACATCATATATTATGTAAGAATTCGTTTGTAACATTACTAAGTATTGGAAACTTGACTAATTCAAATACAAATAAAAATAACTTAGCACCACCGAAATAAAATTAGAGAATCTGAATAGTTCTTTATACTTCAAAACTCATTTGCAATATGTATTAGAAACTTGACTAGGCTTGAAGGTTTGGATCTTTCTTCTAAGTTACAAAGTACTCTTTCAGTAAATGATATAAGTGCTCTTCATTTTTTTATTTAATAAAATATGTTAGCATAAGCAAATATATAACAATGTTCGTACTTTTTTTCTTACAAAAAAAAGTGTTTGTGATTTTTGTTTTGTTGTTATATTGCAAGATGCATTCCTAAACTAACCTGCAGATATTTTTTTCATTCATAGGCAATATTTGTCTACATGCATGTTGAAGTGCAATATTGTAAACATATCCAAAGAAATTTTAAAAAGTAAAATAAATGTGAGGAACCTATGTTAACCATCACTGTGCGTATAATATAAAATATTTTTTTGAGTTATGCGAAGCTCAACAAAATATTTATTAAAAATTAAAGAATAAAAGAGAATATATAAAAGCCAAAAAAGCCATAGTTTTTTTTTTTAGTTAGACTTAATTGTTTTAAGAATGAATTGTAATATTTTATTTTTGAATTGGCCATCTATCTAGTTATATTTTTTTTTTCTTCATGCTTCTATCTAGCGAATTGTTGAAAAAAACATGACAAGACTATGTTCCAATTTTTATATTAAAATTTGCTGAACTTTAATCTATCTTGTGATATTATATATGCTGTGGGATATATTTCTTGCCAAGAAAAAATGGGAAACCATTATCTTATTTTCATTGAATCAAAGATCTTCTTTAACGAAATATGTAAGTGCTTCTCACTTTTGTTTTTACTACTGAAACGAGCTCTCTCCTTTTTTCAATTACTATGCACACAGCAAGAAATTTTATTTTCAGGAAAAAAATCAATTATGTGTAAGAATAATGCCTTGACAATCATTCCATTTACTCATGCTAATCAGAACATCCTCAAGAAGGTTTTTATTCATTTCGAAAGACAATTTGTGAAAAATAAATTTTAGAAAAATAGTAAAGTGAAGCTGTGTCAATAAAATTTCTCTCATTTTTTCAGTTTAAATCCATTTCTACCTTTTTTTGTTCAAACATAATTATGATTTTAATGCCTAGAAAGGCATGTATAAGTATTATTTATTTTGATTCAATTAATATTCCACAAACTTGTATTAAGGGGAATATGGAAAGGGGGACCACATCCAACAACCTTCATTAATTCATTACCCACCCAAAGTAAAGCATCCCTCACTTTTCATGGAGGATGCCTCTCACGTAAGTTGCACCTGTATGATTTGCAACGCATGGTCTTGGTTCAAAAAAAAAAAAATCTAAGAATAAAGAATATTTTTAGAAATAATGCTTTCAAAAATTGTTGCTCGATTTTTGTTTAATATGATTTTTTATGCATAACCAATCACAATAATGTTTTTTTTTATGTTGTCATGTTTGTTGCAAGAGATATTCCCAAATCAATTAGTAATTTTACAAGTCTGAAAATACTGCACATGTGTGTTAATCACTTGTCCAACCACATACCAAGAGAAATTGGGAGTTAGAATATGCTTCATGTGTTTAGACCTCCATATGAATAATTTACAAGGTTTACTCTTAGCAAAACATAATATTAATACTTTTTCTTTCTAAATAAATTTATCATGACCATTAGAAGGGTTATTATGTTTACCTCTATTTTTTTGGGCTAGAAAACAGAGGTAAGCATATAATATTGTTCTTGATTCTATGAAGATTTGCCCTTCCGACTCCATTCATGCTCCTTTCTTTTGAGTCTCTTTGATAGTTTTTTTTTTAATTTTCTTCTTATATTTTGCACTTATTTTTATGAAGATTTTTATTTTAATTCTCTTTAAAGAGAGAGGGGGACATTGAGCCACTAGATTATTGGTTGTTTCTTTTTGTTCTTGTGAGCAGCTCCCTTTTTGTTCTCCACATCATCACATAATAGAGTTATTGAATAAGTAGTTGTGAGTTTTGATAATATTGTTAGAAACTTTTCATATTATTTATGATTCATTTTATGATTGAAATATATTAATTTATATTTAATTTTATTAATATTACATAAACCATCACATAATTTTCAAAAGTACACACTTAAATTTAATTTTTTACTCTTTTAAAAATTATTTATCAGAGATTCTAAAATAACTTTTTATTTATTAAAAGGTGCATATTAGAAATTTAAACTTACTTGTTTACGCTTGGTAAAGACCATTAATTCCATTCCTAGCCTATATCACTCTCCCTCCCCCGCCTTTACATGGAACAATGGAAGTACGCAGCAAGGCATCTTTTTGTATTTACCTAATCATTGATGTACCATAATAAATAAGTACAATTTCAAAATTTGTATATTTATGCTAATGAATGTTTTGTGCTATAATATTTTGTTGATAATTAACAATAGAGCTCAAATTAGCAATTATATATAAAAACTTTTTGTTCGGTTTAAGAGCTTTATTATTCTTTTGGACTTTGGTTTCTTTTAGGTAAAAATTCAAAATTATTTTATCATAATCACAATAATTTTAAGAAATGCACTCATAAAATTATGTTTGTTACTTATTTTTCTTTTATGATAATCTTATGCATCAGAATTCATAATAATGTGGTTTTTTTATTATCATATTGCAGGAAATATTCCTCAAACAATTGGTGGTCTCACAAACTTGAAAAGCATATATCTAGGTGTGAACAACTTGTCTGGCCAAACACCACAGAATATTGGAAACTTGACAAAACTTCAAATGCTAGACTTTGATGAAAATAACATTGAAGGTACACTTTGAACGAATCATAATCACATAATCTGCAACTTTTTATCATATTTGTGTTTTTTTTTTTTTTTGAGAAAGTTCATTCACGGGCTATATCTTATAAATACATTTGTCGCCGCCACTAGAAGTAAGGGTCACCAAGTTGTTCTTCAACAAGTTTGTAGAAAAAGGATGATCCGGAAACATTTCTTTTAAATTTTAGAAGTTATATTTGTTAAAAAAATTATCTACTATACATGAACACTTTGAGCATTAGAATACTTTTCTTATATCTTTATCAAATACATAGAAAATATTCTCAATATAACTGCTGTATTGATAATGTTTTCATCAAATTATGATGTTATACCTACTATGTTTTTTCCCTCTTTAATTGTTTTCTCAGTGTGTGTGTGTGTATTTATCTTCCTATTTTTCCTTTTGTTTATAAATATGTGTGTGTTCTAGAACATCTATTTTGTTATATGAATGATTCTTTTTAATTACCATTTGCAAATACTGGTTAGGACTAGAGACTTGATGAAATACTTTTTTTTTAAAGTAAGATAAAATGAACAATATATCATATGCAGCACTGCTAAAGTTTTACGGTAGGATCAACAATATACTTCACATTTTCTATTAGATTATGTCACCACTCTATGCTAGCTACCATGATAGTAACTGCAATATTTGGCTTTGCTTCCAGTTTTAACTTCCATTAAGTGGTCAATCTAAATTCCTCTATAATTAATGAGTTTTGTACATTACTATTGCGAGAATTCTAGATGTAAGCCAATATTCAAAATGTGTTTATATTTCATATCAAAGACGTCAAGATAAAAATATCATTGATTTTCTTAGTTCAATTGCACTCCAACATAATTCTTTTCTTTTTATACATTACATGAATCAATCTATCTATACAAACTAAAAATTGCAACAGGTATATCTTAAAAGTTATATGTACTTATTGACTATTTTTATTTTAGAAAGACATTAACAAAATGTCCTTTAAATCTTTTATAGATAGTCTTTTGGATGTCATATTTTCAACAACATTGGTTATAGTTAGAGTTCAATATAAGTGAAATTTAAATGACATATTAAATTTTTTCTAACAAAATTTATCCTTATATACTACATATTGTATAAAAAGCCAATATTATAATGTATCTGGCTTGTGAATTGTGTTATGATTCAAGATATTTAAATTATATTGAACTGCATGTTTTATGATTTTGTAATATAATATTTATCTTTTTTCCATGGAATTTATGAAAGGGGTTTTTAGTTTTTGCTAATTTAATTGAGGTTCTATCTTCTCACGGGATACATTCCAAAAGTCAGTGGTCTTGTTTTTATTTTTTATTTTATGCTATCAATCATCTCATAAAGTTAAATTGCTTCGTTTTAACACTTTTCATGAAACTTTAAAATTACAAAATCTGTTTCTTTTTATCAAGAAAGATTTTGTTTCTTTACATAATAATTGTGAGGAACCTGTGTGTACCATACATCACCATTCAATCTTAAATATTTTTAAGATTGAAAGATTAAATAATTATATATGTATGTATGTATAACTCAAAAAATATAAAAAGAATATTTAAAGCCTTACAAAGTGCATAGAATTGTATAATGATGTTGAATATATAATTTTTTTATAAAGTTTGTTTCAAGTGACAATTTATAGTTGATTCATAAAATCTTTTTCTTTACTACAAGAATTATTATAATTTTAATTTGGAATCATTAAAATGAGTTTAAGCTATGGCTACAAGTTTAAACCTAATCCAACTAGTGTAATCTGGCTCCACGAGCTCTTGTTCATAGCTGGATCAATTACATCCACGATTGAACATCCTGAATTCCTCAATTCTTGATTTTTAATCTATTTTATCTATCGATCTCCCACCTAATTAGGTTCTATAATTAATCTCAAAGTGTTTCTCGCTCATTTCCTAAGCAATTATAAGTTGTCAAAATGAAAAAAATAGAATTTTACCCATTGACTATCATTCAATTAATTGACGCAGATAAGAACATGTCTCAACAAGGTTTTTACATGTTTTGAAAACCATTTATTTAAAAAAAAATAAAAATAATAGTGCAGGGATGTTGAGTCATTAAAATTTCTTCTTTTTTCAGTTCAAATTTATTTCTATCTTTGTTTATTAGTTCAAAATCATTACAATTTTGCACGCCTTGAAGGGTATATATATTTTTTAATTATGATGATAAAATATTTATATTTTGATTTAATCAACTCCACAAAGTTAAATAGGGGGAAATTGCAACGTTACCAAGTTCATAGTAGCAGATAAAAGAAATGGAAAAGGGGACAACATGCAACAACCTTAATTAATTTATTCCCAACCCAAAGCAAAACATAATAAAATATTTTTCGTTTGTCCATTGAATAATACCTTCTAGGAAAATTACTCTCATCTAAAATTAAATGTGATTTCACAAAAAAAAAATGTTACATTTCCAAAGGAATATAAATTATTTGGAGCTCAGCCATCTAATTGGATACAATGCAAAGAGCTCAAAAGCTTACTCTTAGGGCCTGTTCAGTTGCTAGACAAGAAAAGAATAAAATGCTTTGAAAAATATAATTACTATGTCAAATCTTCACTTTAATTATGTAAGTCTTTCTCTTTATGCTAGTGAAGTTTTTGGTCCAATATAAAGCATTTAATTTGTTTCACAAACATTTCACGGAACTTAAATTTCTCTTTTAAAATGATTTTTTCTTAAATGACACCATGTAATAATGTTTTGTTATTGTTGTCATGCCCAAGTATTTTATGTCTAAAAGTTATATTCTTGGATGCTAATAATCTATCTGGCTACATACCCCAAGTATTCGTACTCAAGCAAATATTAACCACTCCTTGCTGCGACTACACAACTATAATATGTGTTCCTTTATGCGTGCAATTTTGATTTCCTTTTTTATTTTCATATCTGAATGAAATTCTTCTTTCACAAAAATTATGTATTGTTTTTTTTTTTTGCACTTTTGTTTTCATTGAATTTGATATATAGGAACTAGCGGTTGAAGGTTTCATGCATTCGATGAAAAAATAAAGTAAAATCTGTTACCCAAATTTCAAGGTTTCATTCTCAGTTTTTTGCATTGGCAACCGAAATACAAATAATAATTTAGGATCACTAAAATAACATTAGAGGATCCAGATATATATATATTTTTTTTTTGCTACGATACTCATTTTGCAATAACTTTTTTATTTCCCAAGTTAAGTTCCTTCATTTTAGTCACTTAATTTTATAAAGTATCCTTTAAATTCAGTTCTTCATTTCTAACACTCTTGGTTACATCACATAAAATTTTTACATTGAACTTTTAAATATTGACAAAATATTTTCAAATATTAGCATACTAAGTTTAATTTTGAATACCAGATACTAAGTTTAATTTTTTTTAACATAACGATGATTTTTCCAAAAGGTAATCATTTAAAACTAACGATATAAGAATTAGAAGATTGAAAATATACTTTATGAAATTAAGGGATCAAATTGAAATATTATATAAAGTTAGAAGATCAAAAGTCTACTTTAGGCAAAAAAATAACAATTTTGTGCTTATATACTCCAAAGCCCTTGATGTTTAAAAACGTTGTCAGTTATGTGTTTGTTGTAATCGGTTGGTATTTGCTTTAGTTTATATCTTTATGATCACATTGAATGAAAATCTATCGTTATAAATTAGTGTTGTGTACTTTTTCATTGAGCCTTTATACACTTTTTGATTCTTTAATATTTCTATATATTTTTCATTGCGCTTCCAAAACTTTTGTAATATCCTTCAATATTTTTTTGTATCGTTTTTAATATTATTTAATAGTTTTTTAGCTTTTTAAATGAATTTATTAGCAACATTAGAAACATTTGTTTTCCCCCTTTTTTCCTTTTCATTTGGAATTTTTTTAATCATATCACAAACAATAATCCTAAGGGAATGTAAGATCTTCTAAAATTAAAATATTATTCCATTCACGTCACAACCCAGATCATTTTCTTTGTCTTACTTTCAGCGCTCTGATGCTTTTGAAAGCAACATGAAGGCCATTATTTACATGTATATCTTCACCATCTTTAATGAATATACTTTATAGCCCTCAGCTACGCATTCAAATTTGTGGCTCATATGCACAAGAATTGTGTCGTGAAATTTGCAAAACTTTAGTATTCATCAAATAGAAGTATTGCTCTATTTAATCACCTCAATTTTTTGGGCTACAAAACAGGGGTAAGCGTATAATTAATATTTTTCTATTTATTTCATGAATATTTGCCTCTACAACTCCATCCTCTTTTCTTTTTAATCTCTTGATATTTTTTCTTCTTTTTCTTTTGGTCACAATTCCATGAAGATTTTCCTTTAATTTGTCTGTATTGCGAGATGAGAGATATTGAACTAACATATTATGGATTGTCAATGTCTTCATAGCTCTATCTCAGCTTAACATTTTCGTTATCTTCTTTTGTTGACTTCTGTTTTTTTCCACATCATTACGTTTTTAATACTGCCGGGACTTCTCTTTTTTCGGTTGCTCATTTGGAATGAAGTCAGTTTTGGGGGTGGGGGATGTAAGAAAAGAATTGTTAAACAAATATGTGTGACTAATTATTACCATAGTTGTTAATTAATTGATAATAAAAAACAGCATTTTTTGGCCAGACATAAAAACAAGTTGAAGTTTACTAGTTATCACTTTTGCTGGTCCATTAAATATGTATGATCTTGAAAAATTCCTTCCATCTTAATTGAATTATGAATGCCTATTTTAGTTGTCAATACTAACCGAAGTTTAAAAATACAAGTGACATATTTTAACATATAATTTCTTGTGCTCATACGGTTATTCCACCCTAATAGCCACTAATTGCCATCATTGCACAAACCAGAAATTGTTATACTATAATTTTATTTGAAATGATAGTACATACCAAAAGGCAATAAATTTGCAACTCTATTAGGGTCCAAGAGCGTTATAATCTTTTCTCCTTTTATTTGCAATTTTAAAAGCTATATTTTGATTCATCCCAATAAATTTTGGTCTTTTATTGGTTGTCATGCTCATTTTATGATTTACTCCACTTATAGCTTGGTTGTTCCCCTTATTTTTTATTTGATTCAAAGTTATCTGTCACTTTAGTGAAATTAACTCCACTAGTTCATTGCTTCTCTAAATTTACTTCAAAATTTTAAGTTGAGGAGGAACAAGTTTTTCAACAATGATAATAAATTTGATTGGTCATTTTTATATCACATTGTAGGAGATATTCCCAAAGAGATTGGTAATCTTAAAAGCTTGACAATTCTATATTTAGACCTCAATCAGTTTTCTGGTCAAATACCGTCAACAATCTTCAATATATCTGAGTTGCAAGAGATTGATTTAAGTGGGAATAATTTGTCAAGAGGCATTCCTTCTAATATATGCAATGGACTTCCAAATTTACAATATTTGGCTCTTCAAGACAACAACTTATTTGGAGCTATACCATCTAGTTGGACACAATTCAAGCATCTCAAGATGTTAAAATTAGAAGGAAACTTTTTGACAGGTACGTATCACCAAAATATGTCAAATATCTAAATTTAATCATAGCAAATATATTTTTATTGCACTTTTGTGTATTGGTACTGATGAAAACTGTAGAATAAATTGGAATTCCACATATCTTATTTTCATTAAAACAAAAATCCTCCATGAAAAATGAATTATATTTATAAAGAAATACAAAATCTCAGTAGAATGTAGTAAACCTGCTTTGGAAAATATGTAAAGTAACATAAAAATTTGATATTTTGTATTAGTAAATATAAAGTTAATTTGTATAATTTTTAAATTTTAATTGTCTAAATCCAGTTGCTCCAAGTCCATTTTCCACACTGATATATGACAATGATATACTAAAACACTATCTAATTGCTGCCTCATAAATAAACCTCAATATAATCTATTTGGAAAAATTATTTTCAATATATTTAATTTGTTGTTCAATTTTTTTATTTTCAATTTACTTTATAGTCTAATGGAAAATCAAACTCTTTGATAGATATTATTTTCTTTACTTTCTCCACATTGTCATGTAGCGTTAACTAGTTGCATAGGAGGAGCCTTACACAAGCCAGATTGTGGAGCCATATGAGCGGCACATGTTACCCATTTTTCTTCTACAGAACAAATATGATTTTGAAATACCCCTTTCTTATCTAATTTAAACTGCTGAATTTATGGACAGTAAACATCATATTATCAAAGATAATATATTTTGATTTTGACAATTTTTGGATATATATATATATATATATATGCATATAGTCAATCATCTCTACAAAGTTCCATATGCCATCTCGTTTTATCCATTTCATGAAATTTCAGGATCATAAAATCTGCCACCTTGCGGTGTTTATGTACCCTCACTTTTAATATACCTCATTAACGTTAGAATTTACAAAATAAAGTTCAAACAACAAATAATTGTATCCACAAATTTGCTATTCATTTTTCTTTCAATATATAATCTTTAACTTTATAAACTTCTTAGCATTATGATTTTCTGTTGTTCCAGGAGATCTACCAGGAGATATTGGAAACTTAACTATGCTTCAAATGTTAACTCTTGGTTACAATAACTTAAAAGGTATCCTTACAATAAATTATAATTGCTAATTAATCCTGTTTCCCTGATTGTCGTAGTTAAATCTTAACGAGCTTTCTTACTGCAAATTAAGAGGCAATAGAAACTTCACTATGCTTCGATTTTAATATTTAGATTACAATTACTTTTCAAGGATATATTATTAACTCTGTCAAATCTCTAACTTTTGTGTCTTAGAAATGATATTTTAATTATAATTTATGCTTGGAATTGGTCAAAACTACAGGACAAAAAGAAATTCTCCATCTTTTATTTTCATTTAAACAAAGTTCGTTTTTCACTTATACATGATGTGCCCATCCTTCACTGTCAATATATATATATACATATATATGGACCGAAAGCTAAAATCTAGGTGGATGACATCTGTGACCCCTCAACATTAAACCAAACATCTTTGCTATATTAAGACAGTTACACAAACTTTTCTATTTCATTATTTTTAGTATTAACTTCAAGTAACTTTACTGAAACTCCATTTCCTATTTTGCTCCTAGATTTAGTACATATGTGGGAATAAGAAATCTTTGTAAGCTTGACATGTTATATTTGTCACAGGACAAATTTAGTAGAGATCTATACTTCCAAAATGTTTTTTAACATATCAACTTTGAAAAGTTAAGTTATGATCTCATTAAAAAAATTTTATCAGGTAATATTCCATCAAATTATGGGAACCTCACTAATTTGTATAAACTCTCTATAGAAGAAAACATTTTGATTGGAAGGATTCCAACAACAATTAGTAGCATACAAGATCTTCAGTATTTGAGTCTTAAAGGTAATAAGTTACATGGTGCAATCATTGAAGAGCTATGTGGAATGCCAAGACTTGCTTATTTATATCTAAGTGAGAACAAGTTTTCTAGATCAATACCGCATTGCATGGGAAATGTTACCTCCTTACGAGAACTTCACTTGGACACTAACGAGTTAACTTCAGAAATTCCCTTTTCTTTTTGGAATTTGAAGGACATATTGATCGTAAACTTGTCTTCAAATAGTTTAGTTGGAAATCTATCACTCAATATTGGCAACTTAAAAGCTCTTGTGTCATTGGATTTGTCAAGAAATCATATTTTAGGAATCATTCCCTCAACCATGGATGGCTTGCAAACTTTGCAAAATCTCTCCTTAGCATATAACAATTTGCAAGGAAGTATTCCCAAATCACTTGGAAATATTCCAAGTTTAATGAATTTGGACCTTTCCCATAATAATTTGTCTGGTGAGATTCCCAAAAATTTGGAGTCACTTGCTTATCTAAAGTTTATCAATCTCTCATTTAACAAACTACAAGGAGAAATTCCGAGCGGAGGTGTTTTCAAAAATTTGACTGCTGAATCTTTTATGATGAATGAAGCTCTTTGTGGTAAACAAGAACTAAAAGTACCTCTTTGTAGAAAAGGAAAAAGGTCATTCAATAAATCACTTTTAATGAAGTGCACATTACCCATATTTGTGTCAACAATTTTGATTGTTTTAGGCATCCTTCTTTTAAGACAAAGACAACCAAATTCATGGGATTCTTTTGAAAGGGATTCACCAAATTTAGGAGGACAAAGAAGGATTTCTTATTTTGAAATTCTAGAAGCAACTAATGGATTTGATGAGAGTAACTTTATTGGAAGTGGGAGTTATGGTGATGTGTTCAAAGGAAAGCTTTTGAATGGGATGATGGTTGCAATTAAAGTATTTAATTTTGATTCTGAGAAAATGTCAAGGAGCTTTGAAGTGGAATGCAACACAATGCGCAATGTGCGCCATTATAATTTGGTGAAGATCATAAGTAGTTGTTCCAATGTTGATTTCAAGTGCCTGATAATGGAGTTCATGCCTAAAGGGAGTCTTGAAAAATGGTTGTATTCTCATAACTATTGTTTGAATTTTCTACAAAGGCTGAATATAATGATAAATGTAGCATCTGCTTTGGAATATCTCCATCATGGCTTGTCAGCACCAATAGTTCATTGTGATATGAAGCCAAGTAACATTTTGTTGGATGGCGATATGGTTGCTCATGTGAGTGACTTTGGGATTTCCAAACTTTTAGATGAAGGGCAATCTAAAATACATACAGAGACGATACCTACAATTGGATATATCGCACCTGGTAATTATTCTAAACTTAGATTCACCATGTCCTTTTTGCATTTGTATTTTGAGAATGCCTTCCTTTCTTAGTTTCTTTTAGATTACATTGGAGTCACCTTATTAAATGCTGGTAATATGGGTCTGGCAACCAACTTTAAAAAAAAAAAATAGACAGAAAATTCCACTCCTTAAATTGTTAATGAATTATTTACTAAAATAGAATTTAATCCCATATAATACATGTTGGGTATGATTGTTGTTAAAAAGGTTTGTGATTTTTTATTGTTGAAATTTTAATATAATTATGAAATAATTTGCAAATATGGCATGATTAAATTGAAAAAAAAAATTAAAGCAATAAGTATTGGAAACTTAATCCAAAAAATATGAAGGTGAATAAACAAAGGCCAAAAATAAAGGGAGAGAGACAGCAACTGAAGATGAATGTGACATACCTAAATCACTGTTAAAATTACTGTGGTAACTATGTTTCCAATGCATGGACATCCTTTTTTTTAATACAAAATAGTGTCCATTTATTTCAGACTTTGGTTTTTTTTGGGCCAAATATTTCAGACCTCCTTATGTGTACGTAGTGTCTGCGGGCACTAATTATTTTTTTAAAAAAAGAAAGGAAAATAAAGAAAGAAAAATCACCGGAATGGAAAGCACCGTCAGTTTTAGTTTTATATATGCCTCTATCTTGGCTCTTAGACAGATTCACATGTAATTTAAATTTGTATTGTGTTTTTTATTGACTTAGAAATAGTTTTATTGTTATTTGGATAATTTGTTTTTGGGGGAAAATATGATTTTTTTTAACGGCAAAAAAAAGGTAAATTTGTAATAGTTAAAATTGGAAAACATTATTAAAAATATATTTTATTGGTGGGTCATGGGTTGACCCACCAACCCAGGAAGAAATACAACCCACCAAGGATGCAGGTTATGCCAGCCTGACTTGAATAACCTGCAACTTGCTATGGGGCCAGCCTGCAAACCTCACGGTGGCCCATATTATTACTCTATTAAATGATACATATGAAATCTTTCATGCTCTATCACTTATTATCTAAATCAGAAATAACATAGAAGATTAATATAAAAGATATTCCTTACTTTCTATGAGCAATACTACATTTGTTCCCCAAAGCATTAGATCTTCTTGATTTAGTCTCTATATACAAGAAGTTTAATTGATGATTCACATGACATTAAAGTCACCTATCAAATAAATTATTTGAAACCATTTGATCCAAATTTTTCTATAGAGAAAAGTACTCTCACATAGATGTATATATATATATCCTAATTTCTTATTTGAGGCAGGTTCCCATATAAAATAGATAACCAAAGGATTTCTTATTTTATGCATTTTGCGTTCATTGAGCTTGGCTTCCTTAATTATTTTTATGTGTATGTATTTGATATGAGAGAGAGAGAGGGGGGGGATGAAAATCAATACAACATGTATTTTACTCTAGCATGCACATATATATCTATATAAAAAAAATCCTATTGCATTCGTGGAAGTTTTCTATAATTTTCTGTTGGATCTAAATACAAGTCTTTCAAGGATTGCCTTGTTGCAATGATCTATAAAAAAAAATATTGTAATCATTACCACAAGAAACAACAATACAAATTATTAGTTTTTCAACTATTTTTCTTAATTGACAAAAATGTGTGTTTTAAATTTATTCTAGTTCAAAAATTTTGATTACGAGTGAGAAATTGATTTTTTGGTTGCTTGAATCCAATTCTATTACAGAATATGCATCTGCTGGAGTTGTTTCAATGAAAGTGGATGTGTATAGCTATGGAATTATATCAATAGAAGTGTTCACAAGAAAAAGACCAACAGAAGACATATTTGATTCAGGATTGAACTTGAAGAGTTGGGTAAGTAACTCAATGCCACATGAAATAATTAATATCATGGATTCCAATTTATTGCAGGGAGATGAACAATATATTGGTGATATATTGACTTCTACGTCCTGTATTTTTGAATTGGCATTAAATTGTTGCACTGATTTTCCTGAAATGCGAAGCAACATGACAAATGTTGTAGTGTCATTAAACAAGATCAAGAACATGATTATTCAAAGGCAACATCTTTGACATCATTAAATAAGCATTACTTTATTTTCAATTCATGTTGTATATTTCCCTTTAGAAACTTGCTTGGCACATTACTTGTATGATGAATGCATAACTTTTTCACGAAACATGGAAGAAAAAGTTGTTGTCATAATTATCATATGACATGGTTGATGATCCTTTTTGAATAATGAAGGAGTGCATACATTTCTTAAACTTTGCGATGTTGTAATAGAAAGTGTATGTTCATCAAAATATAGCATGCATTTTGATGAATTTTTTTTTAGCTTCTCTTGCCAAGGTTGCTAAAAATTAAAGGGTAAATCTGTGGGCATAAAAATTGGTAGGAAAATTAAATAAAATTTGAGTACCATATTTTTATTTGTGTTTGTCATTTTAAATTTGAAATGTGGATTAACTTGTCCATGAATTACCTCCCAACAACTAGGGACTCATCTAGAGATGATAATACTTTCTGTTATGAAATGAAATTTATTGGTGTCCATCAAATAAAATGTCAATATGATGTTGGTTTGATATTTTATAATCCTAATTTTAAGTATTTTTACACAATGGCTTATGGGAATACAATATCGTAACTTGTGATATTATTTTCATATCAAGGAAACGAGGAAAACGAAAAGCCAAGGATTTAGTAACTTGAAATATGATCTGTGTGTTGCGCAAGAAATATGAGCTATAATCCCAAAGATTTCCATGAGAAATATGAGTGCTTTGTTACATATTAGACAAATGGTGAACTAATACAACATAATTTAATTTGAAAGAATGGAATGGGGTGTTTATTCTTTTTAATTTTTTTTAATTCAAAGAGATACAGGAGGAAGATTCTACAAATGACATTTTCAATAGAAAAGGGCGTGGATAAATTTATTTGCTAAGGGCATACCTCATTTACGAATCTTTGTAACTCAAGGTTACAGTAAGTGACCGGTTATCTATGATATTAAATTAAAGCTTGTATATATAAATCTCTGATTTTTATGTTCATATAATTGAGTATCATTAGGTTAGATGTCCATCAAGACAAGAAAAGAAAATCTTTTGGTTCATAAGAGTTCTACATATTAAAAGGATCATTCAATATGATAACAATGTGATGAATCCCTTTGGCATCTTTTATTGTCATAAAAGACTTAATGCTCTATTTGGATAAAGGGGGAAAAATGATACAATTCTTTTTATAAGTCATTTTTGATAAAAAGATGGATAATTAATTTTTTTTTTCAATTTTACCATTTCTCAATTTTTTATGAATAGAGTAAAATATTACATATGAAAGAGAAAGTGTCTTTAAATGTGATAAATTGATTAAATGTAAATTAAATTGGGAATTTTTTCTGCAACATCAATAATTCAATTAACTTTCTTTATTTTAATAAAGGAATTAAAAGTGACTTATATATAAAATCAGAGGGAGTAAGTCGTAAAATAAAAACCAAATGTATGCCTTTGGAAAGAAAAAAATATAGAGGGACTGCGTGCATAACCATGCACATTGAAATTAAATAAAATACCTTTTCACATCACTATATTTAAATTCAATTATGTAAATTTTAAATCTTAATTAATTAATAAGTAAATAGCTCAAATTTTATTAGTAAACAGCCTAATCAGGTATTCCTAATTTTTCTCCCTAGAATTTTAGTGGGAAAATCACTGGGTAGCTAGCAAATATATGAAGAAAGGAAGATCACAAATTTACAGTCTTAAAAAAAAGTGAGGAAAGCAGTACAGTTTGACTCTACGTTGTTTTACAATGGTTGACGAGAAAAGTTCATGTAAAATTAGGTGTTTCAATAATTGCCTGAACTTTGCTTTTAAATCATAGATGCCACCTTTATCTGCATCTCTCTGGCTGGGTTGCCTTTTATAACAAGAGGTCATTTATAAGAATATATTATAAAAGAAGCTCTGAGACAAATACGTATCACGTAAAAACGCTAACGTTTTAAGACTGTAGTTTTCAAAACAAGACTGTAGTTGCCATCATTATTAAATATTATTTTACATTTGTAGGAGGAGAATGATTAGCATTCACATGTTTAACACTTAAGCATTTTTCTTCACTCTGTTAGCTTCACTCTATTTATTGAACTTTTCATTGATGTAAGGACATATCTTTCATCCATGTGATTCAAAATATTTACACACACACACACACAGAGATCATCAATTCTGTTAGCCACATAATTAATCTCTTCGGATCCTTTTATCCTCTGGCATATATGTTCCTTAATCAAGACTTGACTAAAAGGCTATCAATTTTGAATGTGTATTTATAAGACGACATGAAATAATAAGACAAGTTCATTTGAAGCTTCCTTTATCCCTCCAATGATCCCATTCTTTTTATGCTTAAACCATTAGTCTTCGAACATCCAGCTTTTATTTTATTTTCTTTTTATTTGATTTCTTAAAACACTGAATGATGTTTTTTTTTTTGTCCCGTAAACTAATCAAATGATTAATTATAAAAGAGTAAAATACACAAACCTCCCCTCTATTTTACCTGACCTCCTTTATATTTTTAGCACCTATATAAATCTCCCTTGAATTCAAAATTTACACAATACATACCTCCCCTCAATTTTAAAAAATTCCACTTACATCCATTCAACTATTAATTAACCATTACATTATATATTTTGCACTAAAATATCCCCCTTTAATATAAGACATTGTTTAGGAGTCATTTAAGTTTTTAAACAATAATTATAATATATAAGTTGAAAAAAAATAATATTAAATATGAATAAACTAATTTATGTAGTATATAAGTTCAAGAGTCATTTATATAAAATTATTCATAAATAATTTTTTAAAATTTTTAAGTACATAAATTGACTAAAAAAATTTTTCAAACATATATGAATAAAAATTTAAGCGATAATTTAACTTTTAGTCCCTTAAGTTTGCTTCAATTATCAATTTGATTCGATAAGCTTAATTTTGATTGATTTGATCCGTTAAGTTTTCTTAAATTATTATGTTTGTCCTTGTACTTTTAAAACACAAATTAACTACCAAATTAATCTAACATGTAATGTATATTAATGACTTAAAATGTATATGTAGTGAGAACAAATTAGCCCTCAAATCAGTTTAATTTTTATCAATATAATCCTTATGTTACATTTTGTTCTTTTGTTTTTAAAAAATTTCAAGTCTGTTTTGTGCTGTCCAAATAATTACATTTTTTTTTGTTAATCTACATTACTATCATCAATATTCTCTTATCCATGTTAGTAAATTTTAACCATGTTATCTTATCTTTAAACAATAAAGACCAAATCAATAAGTGAGACAAACATAAAGGACCAAAATGATAAAAAAAAACTTGAGGGACTAAATTGATAACTATGAGATAACCCATCAAATAATGAGAGAGAAAGAAATAAATAAATGAAATTAAAAAAAGAATAGAAAGAAGCAATAAAAAAAGATATTCCTAGAAATTATCTCTTAGAATTATATAGATACTTATATCTATCCTATATTCAAAAGAATATAATTTATTAAAATAAATAAATAAGATATTAATATATCTTATAGTTAGATTAAAATTTGATTTAGAATATTTCTCCTTGATTTGTCAATATAATTTATTTATATTTCTATGTGGGTATATATATATATATTGAATTGGAATGTACAAAACCCTAAATTTATTTTGGCTTTTTTTTATCTTTTGCCTCTCATGCAGCAAAACCATATATTTTGTAATAATTTAGGAAATTTAAGTAAGATAAAACATCATGAATAGATAATTTGAGAGTGGTTTTATTAATTTTGGGGATAGCTTTAACAAGTTACATTGGTGGTTCAGTGGAAATTCCATTGATATCTATCATTAGATCTTTGATTCGCCAAGAGGAATTTTATTTTTGCTTTACCATTTTACCCTTGTAAAAAAGAAAGATAGAAATCTAACGCACGCGCTCTAATAATAATAGGGAGAATGACAATTAAGGACCTGCTAAGAACATTAATCCTAATTACGGATCGTGAAATTTTGAAATCCGAGTTAAAGACCATGGTCCTTAATTGTGATAAAAAAAATGAAATTTGTGAGGTGGGATTCATTATTACCACTTGGGAATTCACTAACCCAACTTGAGAAAATTTGTAACGTATATTGTGAAAATGTTTAAAAAAAAGTGCCACTTGGAAATTCACCAATTAGACTTGGAAAAATTTCTAATGTATATTATGAAACATGAAACTTCACTTGGGAATCGATTGTTTAATAAAAAACACCAATTTGTATAAGTCACTTTTTATTAATGATTCTCAAGTGGGGTTTCATTTTTTCACAATATACGTTAGAAATTTTTTCAAGTCTAGTTAGTGAATTCTCAAGTGACGCTTTTTGTTAAACATTCCATTTTCAAGTGGGGTTTCATGTTTTCACAATATACATTAGTAATTTTCTCAAGTTGGGTTAGTGAATTTCCAAGTCGCGTTAGTGAATCCCACCTCACAAATTTCATTTTTTTTATCACAATTAAGGACCATGGTCCTTAACTCGAATTTCAAAATTTCACGGTCCGTAATTGGGATTAATGTTCTTAGCAGGTCCTTAATTGTCATTCTCCCATAATAATATGATTAATATACTCACCACATAGCACAAAATGACACAATGATAGATGAAATTGTAATTTGCATAGAATAAGTTTTAATTGCTTATTCCATTCTAGTTATTGCCATAAAAAAAGTAATTATTGCTTAAACTAGAATAGTCACGAATATTTACAACACTTTAATAATGCAAAATAGGATTTTAATGACATATTTTTTGACACAGTTTTCAAAATAACTGTAGTAATAAATGCTATAGTAGCAAACTTGTAAATAAATAGAAAAATGTAGATTTTTAGCCACGGTCATAAGTAATAACTGTCACCATAAATCATTAAATTAAATTCTATGACTTTAATTAAAAAGTTTAATTAATTACTTAATTTAACAATGAAAATTAATTAATTACTTAATTT